AGCTATATATAATATATATTTATATTATGTTACAGGGCGTCCGTCTCATGTCCTGCTTTCTACTCCTGTATTTATTATTACTAGCTAAAAGTATATACTATATACAGGGCTTGGAAGATTGAACGGTCAGTAAGCCTGATTATAATACAAGATACTCATGCTTTGAAAGGGTTAAAATGTCTTTCCTTGGTTAAGTCTCTCCACGTCTGCAGGGGTTAAAAGCAAGAATTTCCTCTCCTGTATGCAATCTGTGGCAAGCAGAAACCCCCTTGTTTCACATAGGCCAAACTGGCCACACTCGTTTTCACTATCTTTTGTAAATACAATATCTATTCTTTCTAACCACCTGCAAATTTTAATTGGGTTCCTAAATCAAAGACCGCCATGTACTTCAGTTAACAGAAGCCGTGCTAGCCTAGCACAGTAGTAATCATACTATTTGCACTAAACATCTCTGGTTGGTTGATTTTGTCTCCTGTTGGATACACCCCTATGAAAACTGTGTTTGTTTTATATATACGCTGTACCCGCATTAAAAAAGCACTTCTTTCTTAAACTTCATAATGACTGGTCTGCTTTAATTGAACATTAATTGTTCTCTGCATTGAACATATACAATGATTAAGGAAAGCAGGATGTGTTACCAGCATAAGTCCATGGCAGCTTAAAGGGTTACTGTGGCGGACCGCCTGGCACCCCGACTGGGTGCCTCCGCCAATTGCTGCTTCCTAGCTATCACCGAGTACCATAAGCGCCGCACCGGACACCATGAGCACCATAGCTGCCGCAGCTTGGCTGGGGTCTCGCCGTCCCTTCTCAACGTGGACCAAACTCCTGGATCCAGCTCCCAGTGAGAAGACCTCTCCTCCTAGAAGGTATAGCAGTGTAGCTCTTACAAGAGCTGGTGATTATAGCTAGTATAGTGGTTCCTACAAACATGAGATGAGACTCTATGTTGAGGGTAAGCAGGAACTGGTTTATTGACAGCCACAACTGGCCTTATACGCAGGTCCCCATGCAAGGGGCAATCCCCTCTGGACCTGAGACTAGACTACAGTAAAAAAACACACGATTACATTGGCTCTCAGGTCCAGGACACTGCCATACAAAATAGGTTAATCCCTCCTCTGTACCTGGGAGATAATTGAGTCAAGCACTGTATTAAACTCTGTTATCTCCAGGCACAGAAAACATACTTTTTATACATATTAAAAATACCCCCAAAACACATGGAAACCCAATATAGTCATATCCCCTGATAGCCCCGATCTGGGGGACTAACATATGCAAAAATCACCCATATCGGTTCAGGGGTCCAGGATTTCCATAGAAGTCTCAGTTTGACCGACCGCAAACGAGTCTTCTGCCCCAATAGAATTCCACAAAATCAGACTGTGTGGTCGGTCTCTTTCGGGAATGACAAATATAACAAAAGTACCGAACCTAACCGTTTGTGATACAGTCAGTCTTTATTTCTTGTTCGGGAGCTTGCTCCCACCGTATGCCATTCAGATCTCATGTATTTTACCGAACTGCTGTGGAATTTCTAGCGGTGTTCGTGCCGTCGAGTGCCCGATTTTAGTTCCATGCCCTCGACGACCAAACACCGCTCTGTATGTGTTGGCGGCCACCCAACCGACCGCTCAGAATGTTGGTATAATTGCGGTTACAGAGGTGCGAACAAAGGTGAAAGAGGTCAATGAGCAGCACACACATGCCCTGGGTGATCTGGGCGTTCGGTAGTTTTTTTTTGGTATACAAAATAGATAGGTCTTAGGTGCTTGTATACCGAACTATAGAGTATATCAAATAAGCGACAAAATTAGCAGCCTGTCATTCAGAGATAGGGAATCCATCACAGTTACAGACCCTGTAAAATTCTTAGAACCTAACAAAAGCTCAATATTTTCTTCCTCTTAATACACTTTCTGTATAAACTAATTAACATGGCTTCCAAATCCGCCAAGAATTGTAGCCATTATACGAAGAGGCAAACACAAGCAGAGGAGCTTGTGTCTTTAAAACCGCCTCTTGCGGGTCGTCTACATGGAGTCCCAATGTCCAGATAATATGCACACCTGGGTTAAGAAGGGGATAGAAGGACTATCGAACACTCTGCAAATCTATACATTGATAATCAAGCTTTTATCTTTTGGAAGCTCTTGTGTTTCAACATGCCTTTTCGCATCAGGCATACGGCAAGTGAAATACGCACAATTTTGCCGTGTTTCGATATTTTCTAAGGCGTGCATAAGAGAAATAGTCCCCATGCACATCATGTGATCGCACTGGAATTCTAACTCAGTTGGGAATATTTAATCAGACGTGACGGTTACATTCTGTCATTATTTGATTGTAATTATTAAAGTGATCAAAAAATGGACATCGTGTATTGCTCCAAATACGCAGCCCTTCATGTGACTCCACTTTTCTAATCATCCTCCTACTCCATTAAAAAACTGACGGACAGCA